AAATTTATAATTTTCTCCATCACCTCTCAGCTCCCATTCAAATATTAAAGTCTAGTATTAAATTTCTTCCATTAATTGGGTAAGCAGCTTTACATGATAAGGAATGGTTGGCCACCTTAGCCCACTAATTGAAAGGGAACTAAATTCTCTTTTTATTTTAATGAAAACTATTTCCATGCCCCCTTCAAAGTTGAACAATATAATGAATCATACATTTTATTTATAATTGGAAATGTAATATATTTTATTTATTTGATGATAAGATGAGCAATAAAATTAATAGGAATTTTTAGTTTGGAGTAACAAATGTGATTTTTTAAAAATTTGAAGGAAAGATTGAAAAATGAATTATTGAAAATTACTTTCACTTTTTAAACACTACTCCAACAATTGAATTATTGAAAATTTTCTATGTAAAAATATTAATAACTGCTTAGTTCAATAATTGTGTGTTGAGTAACTTGAGTTATTATCCCAATATTTATTGCACATTAGGCAAATTCCAAACCATGCCTTCTTTTGGAAAATGATTTCGGGATAATGAGTTCGATACCCAATACTGAAAATAACCTGAATTTATTTGTGTTCAATTTCTTCAAATTGTGGTATATTTTAAATTAAAAAAGTCATTTAGTATTGCCTGTTTTTCAGTTAAATTGTGAATAAGTAACTATAATGGTGTCTCCTTCATGATCAAGTATTTGCTGACCTTGAAAATAAATAAAAAGGTTCACGTGTCATTATTTAATAAGTCACTTATACCATTAACATTTACAGTTCTTTATGTTATTTATTGTGTCATGCATAAATTTGGGCTTTACTGTGATAGTTTCATAGAGGAGGAAGGGGAAGGGGGTAAATTATATATATGGGTTAACTTTGACCATGGGCTAGATTTGCATGGATTGCTTGAATGTGAGTCTGTGTGGCTTAACGACATTCTGCTTAGCCCACCTGGAACCTAGGCACTAATGCCACTTTGGTCCAATTAACTGCAACATTTATAATTTGTTAGTGTGATGGAGCGACTCACGTGAGACCAATTTATAATGCGATATTATATAAAATGAGAACGATTAATATGAATTATTAAATCTTATTTGAATAATTAAGATTAAAATATACATACACATGACTATCGTATAAGTTTGTGATCCTCATAGCCTAACTCACATGAAGATTATTGAAGGCTTCCTAGTACCTTGCAAACGGCAATTTTTGACCTAGATATAAGTGGTCGCCCTATGAACTTAGCAAGTAATAGTTGTCCACTCTCAGTTTTATGAAATGCATTGCAATACTATACAAAGTTTTTAACATGCAAGGACGTAAAAGTGGGTACATTCTTAATCTATTCACCTTAGAGACAAATACACTTAAGTTTCTGAGCAATAAGGTGTCCTAAGCCAACACATGACATGTGAAGAGTGGAAGACAACATTTTCAATTACTTGGATGATGATGATTGATTGAGAAGTAATACGTAAATTAAACTAAACTAACTGTATTTTGGAAATTTTGGATTAAAAAGTATCCAAGACTTGATTGCAAATTGGAAACAACTTAAGGACACTAACATTTTTTCTGTTTTCTTATTCGGCAATTTTTTTTATTAAGATGTATTTGAATGTACAATAATAATACTTACTATTGGGATATATGTTATGAAGGACGTCACAAGAATCAAACTAACTTTTCTGAAAAACTAGATTTTTTTTCCTTGATATAGTTCTTCAATTCTTGTTAGAGACTACTATCTTTGTTCCTTTTTAATTGTTTTTTCAGCACTTCAGATATGTTTATATTTGTTTTTCTCTTTAAAACATCCATCTAACAATATTAATGATTATGTCAACTTATTAAAAATTAAAGATTATTTTACAATTACATTCATACTTAAGTAATAAGAGATAATAAGGACAAATAAATGATTATAATTATGATAGGGATATAAAGAGCGAAATACTAAAATATTATATATATTTAATAAAAATATACATACTAACTATATTGCTTGATTTGAGTGTTATAACTTTAAAATAAAATTAGTACTTGGAACGGATGTATTACTAATTTTGTTTCATAATAATAATGGTTATAAAGAAAAGTTTATAAAATAATGTCATTTTTTTGGTATAATTCTTATCAGATGGCTAATAAATTAATCTATTTTGAATTGAGTGATTATCTTTCCCAACAAATATTGGTCTAAAAAATTAAACATTGATTTATCTAGCGATCCTATAAAGCCTTATCACACTAAACAAACGTCACTTATTAAAATAATATGTGATGTGAACATGTTAAATAGGCCTTGATGTTGGCAGCTATAAATTGAAAGTGGGTGTAACAGTAAAAATAATAACGAATAAATATGAGTGTGAGAATTTAAAATGGAATTAAAAAAAAAGTTGTAATAACCATTTTGTTTGTTTGCTTAAGGAAGAGGCAAGGAAAAAGGTTTAGTGGATAGTGTATAAGCTGTGATTGTATGCATATCTGAGAAGGAGGTCACTCCAAACTCATGAAGGGAAGTTTGGGTTATTCTTATAGCCAACTAGAGAAAAAGAAACGACTCTTCAATGTAAGTTCAAGTTATTTGACTAAATGACTGCTACTTTTTATGACTATGATGAGTTTCACCTCTTGGTGATGGTGAAATCATTATTTCCAAAAGAAAGCAGCAAAATGGCCCCTACAGATATATGAAAGGAGGACTAAAAACTAAGTTAAACCTATCTGCTATGGAAAATGGCCATAGAGGTATAAGTTAGTGGTTTATGTCTATAAACATTTTTTATTAATTAATTTTAATTCAGATACTTTATCAGCTTTATAATTTTAATTCATAGTTTATAACTTTTCTTATAGCTTATAAGAGCTTCCCAAACATGATCATTGTATTTTGGCACATAAAACATTTATTTATTTCATTTGAGGATAATTACCATAATAAACATTTTATTAGAAGTATGAGAAAGGAAGAAAAGAATGTGTATTTCATTTATTGAATAAATTGATTATAAAAGAATTAATCAACATATTATATAGAAAGTACAAGTGAGTTAACTCTACCTAACTCCTAACTAACTAATTTATTTTACATGTATATATTTTAATTATGGAAATACAAAAGGTAAATAAGTTTAAACTGATTATTAGTCCAATATAATATTAACCAAAATACAAAATATACTTCAACATCCCTCTAAAACTCGAGAGTGGATATTGACAACTCTCAGTTTGGACAAAAGATAATTGAATAGAGAAAGCTCCAAAGCCTTTGACCGAAGGCATGTCTTTGTTTGCCCAATTTGTATATGATGCTTGGAGGTCTTTGTTCACTAATTACAATCAATGCTCATGCAACTTAAGGATTGCATAGAATGATAAAGAATACGAATTAGTTTGTGAATTCATCTAGCCTTATCAAATGGATTAATTTGTGATTCGTCTAGCCCATCATGGAAACGTAAGAAATAGATGATCCAAGAAAGAAGAAATGAAGAGAAAAATATAATTATATTGCTTTGATATTAGAAATCAAAGAGCTAGAAAAAATATGTATTTCACTCATCGAATGAATTGAATGAATATGATTGAACGAATTGGTAAAAAAATTAACCAACCTAATATATAGAAATACAAATAAGTTAACTCTACATAACTCCTAACTAACTAACCCATTTTACATATTGTTTCAATTATAGAAATACAAAAGGTATTAGTTCAATACAATATTAACTCAATATACTTGAAGAATGAAGGAATGAAGGATGTGGTTATTATTTCAAAATGCAGGAAGAGGAGAAAGGTAATAAACGAATGTGTGGAAGTACAAAAATATGGTGAAGTATTCAGATCTTTATACAAACAATATAACTCATTTGAGCATGTTACTATGTATATAAAGAAGAAAGCAAAACGGTTAGTGGGCAATAAGAAACAGGGATTTAATTAGGATATATATCATTGAAAAAAGGGCAAGAAATTCTCTTAACATTTTTTTAATAACTGAAAACATAAAGTAGTAAGTGTTTAATCTATTAAAAACCAGAGGCATTTAATGCTTCATTCTTTAGAAAACAAGGAGCCCACTAAGAGAATAAAATAATTCTTAAAAGTAAGGCGGGGTTGAGTATCAGTGAGTAGATCCATTGATGCAATACAAGGGCCTCCAATTATCAAAAGTCAATTAAAATTGAATAAGAAAAGTATATATTTACATTTAGACAGTCATATATATATATATATCCTTTAATCATACAAAATTTCAGTCAGGTAAATTGGCATGATTCACTATAAGAAAGAATATAACATGTAGTGGGAAAATATAAACATGTAGTGTAGTGCTTATGACTGGTCAAGGTTAATCAATAAGCTGAAGTATAAGAAAGAATAGTTTGGGTACATACAAGAATATAACATGTAGTATATTGCTCAAGAATATAACATATATGTAGGATAACATACAAGTGTCAGATTCAATGTATACATATAGTTTGGGTACAACTTTAGTGGCATAAGAAAGAATAGTGAGATTATCAAATTTGCCTAAGTAAGTGTTAAAAAATCAACAAAAGGTTGGCCAATAAGGTTAAGGTTAAGATTGCTAGATAAATCAAATAATTTCTTTTAACATATTCTATTTTCTTTCTTTGTGTCAATCATATTATTAAGACAGTAAGATTGATTATTGAGTGTAATATATATAAATTAAGCTAAGACTCAATGCATATTGCCATATACTATTGATAGTGTAAAAAATTATATACATTGAATGCATCATTTGTAATTCATTTTTATTAGTTTTATTTAAGAGTTAATAATAATAAAATATGAATAATGAAGGTATTTTTCTCAAAATCATGTCTATATACTTACAAGGGTAGAATATATACCAGTAATGAAAGCCTAGTGATGGAGCCATGACCATTTTTTTAATAAGTTTAAATGCTGCAACTTTTGATGATTTTAAATGAAAAAATAAGAAGCATTTGGATAATGAGTAGATGATACCACTTCTTAGTTCCGAATCACCAACTATATAAAGCAATGGTCAGAAACAACCTTCTCCACTACCTATCTGCACAACACTTCGGAAATCCTCCAAAACCGATCTATCAAGTCCTAATCATTTGGTAGAGTCATGGAGCTCTTTTGGCAAAAATCCATCAGTGGTTCTTGATTCTTGAAGAAGGCATGGATTAACAGTGTGAAAGGGTCCTCAAACCTCACACTCCATCACTTCCAACAGTTTGTTTTGGCTTTAGCTATTGGCTTCTGTAATCACCAAGGGATAGTATAATACATAGTATTATATATTCTCTATGACTAACAGAAGCATATAAGCATTCTCCATTGGAGCAAAGCTTTCTTTGGCTAGAGCTAGGGCAAGCCGGCAAGTCTCTTATGGCTCTAATTTATGGCTCTAATCTCTATCTATGTATCCTATTATCATAGTTCTTCTTGTAGAAGTAGAATGTAATAAATAAAAAAGGCCTTCCTTTGAGAAGTTAGTTACTAACTTCAATTAGTGTATGCTTGTTTGTATTATGAGTTATGAGCAATGAATTTATTAGTAATATATGATTAATTTCCATAAAGCTTAGATTGTAAATTAAATTCTATTGAACTTGATTAGGAAAGCTTCAGAGCCCTCATTCAAAGGTTAAAAATTTATTTGTAATTAATACTTTACTTCTAATCTTATACACTCAACAAAACATAATTGGAATAATATTTTTGGTTTGCATTTTGGTTTGATGTTTTAATATTACAAACATAATTTAACATTGTGTTAATGTGCTGTTCTAACTTGAATATAGTAACTACTATGAATATGTTGTGTTGAGAGTCTGATGGTTGAGAGTGTGTTGTGGATAGTTTACTATTGAGAATAATCAACAGCACATGCTAAGAGAAGATCTATCAAGTGTTGTTGTATTTGAAACATAAAACAACACATGATAATAAGGCGATGTTAATATGAGCGCTGCATAAACATAACATTGCATAGTGACTGTTTAAATAAGCGCTGTCATATGTAACATCAAAGACAACGTTTTATATACGATACAGTGTCATACGTATTCTATAAGACATCGTGTCATATACAATGCGCTGTCACACGTAACCTATAAGACAGCGCATTGTATAACATGTGTTGTCACACGTAACCTATATAACAGCGCCACTAGTTACTTACAAAGTGTGCTGTGGTATACCATCAATACAACCGTGCTACTTATAACATCTGCTATTGTAAACTATTGTCTTTTACAGCGCAACTTTATCAACTTTAAAGTAAAGTTGCGCTGTTATAAGACAACGTTATTTGTAGTTCATGCTGTTATACTTGGCAGTTGTATAACAACGCATGTATTAGGTTGTGCTGTTGTATATATGATATACAACAACGCTCGGAGAAGCGCGGTCAATGTATACCATATACTACTGCGGTCAAACAGACAGCAGAAATAAGCTTGTTGCTTGGGATGAAGATCTGCTGTCCCAAAGTCTGTCCCTATTCCCTGTCCTAGCCAATTACAAATTGCCACATAAATAAAATGAAAATAAAAAATAACATATTTATCTTATTTGATGAAATATGATTAACTTGGTACAGCTTTGGGAACAGGTGATCTCATTCCTGTTGCTTGACGTGGCGTAATGACCCATGGCTTCTCTCTCTTGTTACTGTTAAATTTACTAGCATTATTGGAAGTAGTTCAGGGAACTCAATGGTAAACTAGTTTATTCTCTTCATATAAAACGCAAACCCTAAAACAAAATTTGAATGTCTCAAAAGTAATACTGGAGTACAGATGTAAAGAGTCTTAATATCTGTATAAGATTCCAAGGCATGTTAGAAATACAATTGTCTATGAAAAATATAACCTAAATACACACCAATGATTAATATGAGTGCACAGAGTCTGTGTCTTTTGAGGATCTGAAGTTATAGTATATTTGTTCCTCTGCATTTCCTTCTCTCCCTTGTCTGTTCATTTATCTTATTTGAGAGTCAGTAATTTTTTAACCAAAGTTAAGCTTCATATTTTATCATATAGGTAAATTATTTAAAGGCTAGTCAGAAGTTTTCTTCCATGTCTTTATAAAAAATAAAAAGAAGTTTTTTTCCATGTATTGCATGTTCTAGTCGAAAGAAATGTATAAGTAAGTTTGATACTATATTCCACACCATAGTTATCTATTCTTCCATGGATTGCATATTCTAGAATGAATGACTAAGATGTGTAATAGTTTTTTTAACTTACTTTAGTAAGTGAATCTCCTATCAAATCTCTTAAGACATTATATATATATATATATATATAAATTCATCCACTTATATGTTTTTTAATTCATCCACTTACATCATTCTTCTTCTTTTTCTTCACAGTTGTAATATATAAGGATGTACTCCTTCAATAGAAACCAATATACACCTTTTGAAACTAAACATATGTATAAACTATATATATATTACATCATACTTCTCATTTCTTATTAATAAAACTTCAAAACTACCCTTTTCCTCTCTCTAAACATTGTTACACTGTTAAATTGAAATATGGTTCTGTTTCTTTTCCCCTTCACCATTTATTGATGATTAAGAATGTTTTTGTTCATCTGAAAATGAGTTTGGAGACATATATTTTGTTAATACGTTAATTATTCATATGAAATTCCAGATAATGTATTTGTTCATCCGGAAAAGCTTTTTCAGACATATACTTAAATGTGTAATACATTAACTATTCACTTGGAAATACATTTTCGAACACTTCTTTTATTCAATTCCAACATATACTTATTGTCTTACCGTGTTAATTATTTATTCGGAAACGTTTTTCTTAGGTACAATTTTTTTCATTTGGAAATACGTTTGCTTCGTGACTTAGACTTTAATATTCGGTATGTTTGTTAATAATTTTGTTCACCCATATTGGTAGATACGTTTATGAACATATTTGTTCATACAAAAACGTGTTTCCTGATACATGTGAAAAGTATGTGATCTCTTTTAAAATAATCCTACTGAAAGAATTAATTCTGTTACAAAAGGTTAAAATAAACAACATTAAGAATCCTGAGAAACTTATTGTTGCATGTGATATTTCCTACCAATCAAACATTAAGAAGTTCCTATAAGGTGAACTTTAGTGTAAAGCTATTAAATAAGAGTCTATTCATTATTGATCAGTTAAAATGAGTTGATATCTAAATATATTTTAACTGGTCAAAGATAATGCATCCTTAATTGCTCATTTTACATTCAAAAACAGACAATTTTCTATCACTGATTCAAAAAATTCTGAAGCTACTGAATCAACATTCCAACAAAGATATACTTATACATGACTTTCCCCTTTTCTTTTTACACATGAATACAAGCATTACATAGCTATTGACACCAATGACAAAGTCATTTTTTTAACCATTTAAACTAGACCTTTTAAACAAGGAACTATAGTGGAAAACCAAGATGAAAGTCACCTAGGGCCAGAGAGCTCCATAGCTTCTACTATGAGTGAAGATTCCTCTATATAATCTGAGTACCTTTGAGGCGGATTTTCACACGACCGGAACCTTGGTGTCTCAATCCTCTGTGAGGCCTCCCATCTCTCGGCTAAGCCATCCCCTTCCAACATCTTTAATACTTCTGACATCTTTGGTCGGTGTGAAGGATTAAATTGTGTACACAAGAGTGCAACTTGAACCATTTCTTCCAACTCGGCCATGACAAAGTCGCCCTTTAGATCTTTATCTGCCATTTGACTCAATCTTCCATCCTGGTGGAGCTTCTTAACCTGTAAGTTGTTCGATTTACATTATACGAAATAACGGTGATTCAAGAGAAAGAGTGGGTTATCTTTTAGGGTGAAGGGTTGGAGTGAAGGAGACTGAGGGTTCGAGTATCACCCGCAACAAATAGTAACATTTGCCGATCAAAAGAAAAAAGAAAAAAAGAGAAAGAGTGGGTTATCTTTTAGGCTGAAGTACTAAAAGAGTTTATTTTCATAAGGTTCTTTTGTAACTTAGTCAATAAGCTCTTCTGGATTAAGAAAAAAGTTTATTTTCATAAACTTGTTGAAATAAGCTAGAAAGAGCTTATAAGAAGGGCATAAATTATGTTCATAAGCCTATGAAGATAAGTTGTTATTATAAGCACAAATAAGCTCTTCCAAGCACCCCCTAAATATACTTCTAGAACTCTTATAAGTGTTATATGCTAGCTAAAGGAGAAAAAAGATACAGAGAGGAGAGAAAGAGAGTACCCAATCAAGCATTACACCTTTCTGGTTTGCTGCTCGTCCGAAATCTAGAGCCTTGTGACCTGTGATCAGCTCAAGCAGCAAGATTCCGAAGCCAAATACATCGGTCTTTTCTGATGATTGGCCTGTGGATAGGTACTCAGGAGCAATGTGCCCAACGGTACCACGCACAGCAGTGGTCACATGGGAATCTCTGTGATCCAGTAGCTTCGCTAAACCAAAATCACCAACAACTGCTTCAAAGTCTTCATCTAGCAATATGTTTGCCGCTTTGACATCACGGTGAATAATTTTAGGGTCACATTGCTCATGCAAATACACCAACCCTCTTGCTGTACCTAAGGCTATTCTCTTCCGCCTTGTCCAATCTAAAGCTGGCCGGCCATGAATATGATCTGATATATAAATCCAAAACCAAAAGCCTAACTTAGGCACATTTTCGTATGATATTGATTCAATTAGAGTATAATTATCATTGTCAGTCATAAGAAGCTTAAGAAAATGGTTTGCTTAGCAAGCAAAACAAGAAGACAGTAAGTGTGAGCACAGAAAAAAGACACTTCCATAGAAGACAGGCAGTATGTTATCTGTGACTAAATAGTTCTCGGCATGAAAAGTTCCCCCATAGCAAGCCTGAAATACCTAATTTTTTAATCATTTCATCTAATGTAAATAATTTGTGAGAATATTCCCATGCTAGTATATGAATGTAGGAAGTTAAAAAGAAACAATTTGAATAGATACATTAGACTCTTCATGGTTCTATTAGAAATACAAAGAACAAGGAACTTTCTTGTAGTCCAAGAAGCACTTTTCTGTTGGATACTGATTAGTGCAAATGAAGTAGCAGTGGCAGTCGATATGCCAGGGAACATAAAGCACACATCCTTCTCCTAAGGACATAATTGTATCCAAGTGTTTTCATTGATGTGGCCATTGCACACCATCGCACTACATACATGGTCATCTAACTATGCTGCTTGTTGACACAATGAAGTTGGAGCTATAATACAACAGGCACTTGTAATTTTATAAAATAAAAGAAGATGGGTGCAGTTCATTTAGTTCCTTGCCTTCAAAACTGGTAGATAATAGATAAATAACACAGTATAATTAACATGGACGTACAAGTTAAAACCAGCACTTATAATGAAAAGTCCAATGAGCTAACCTTTTAATCTAGAGGCGACACTGCCATTAGACATGTATGGATAAACAAGGAGTCTTTCATTCTGAGTAATGCAAAACCCACAAAGCCTCAGAAGATTCCGGTGAACAGCCAAACTTATTGTCTCGACTTCTG